AGCGAGTGCGCCATTTCTCAAAGAGCAGCTTCCCAGCATAAGCGTCACTGACATCTTGGCGGTAAACTCAACCGTTCAGTGGGTGCTGTTGACAACGTGTCCACCCATTTCTGGTTCAATTCTCATTACGGGTACATTCTGTTATTCTCATTACGGGTACATTCTGTTATGAACACTAATGGATACCCCTTCGTGATAATGTCGCAAAAATATTCAAAGCCCGATAACTCACTCACTCACTCACTCACCCTAGGATCAAAAAGCTACATGTCCTCTAAAAACAAAAGTAAAAAAATATCATCTCTTTCTGTTGACTCTGTGTTTCGTATTGATTGCTGACAATTCCATTGGTTCAGATTCGCACCAACGTCAATCTTTTTCATTAGGTTATAATCTCACATACACAGCTTTGTGTGAAAATTGAGAGGCCAGAATGAGGGATGCGTTTTAGATATATTTACACAGCAGATCGGAAAGATTCTTCTTAAAAGATACAACTGTAGGCTGTTAGCAAACTGTCTTCCTCGATTTTGTTTCACGTTGGTAATATTTTCTTAGCCATTGCTGACAAGCCGGGTAACCTTTCGTTTCGTCGAGGGATCTTACACATCAAATACGATTGTGTGTGGCATTTGGGCTTACGTCTCCTGTGAGGGCCCCTCCTCAATTAGAAAATGCGTTTCGTCCCACCGGAGTACGTTTTTGACATTTGAATCTAATTATGCTATTGTAATGGCTAGCTCTTCAATACTCATAAAAGACAGGCTCTTTCTATGCTTTCCGAAGCCTTTAGATTTTCTCGTTTTGTTTTCCTTTCGGTGTAACGTGTGTTTTCGCATTATGGGAAGAGCTTCTCGCTTTTATCTACGGGGAACCAAAATGGATTAATATACTAGCCATGAAAATAATTAGTTTGATGGGATATATCATGGACAGAGACGGAAGGCCGAGTTTTTAAACAAAGTCAATGAATCGTTGCACACGCGCGCGCCCGACGCTTGAATTGCACGTGCAAGCTGGGGTTGATAATGCTTGTAAACACGGCCTGCAGTGTGGGATTTCCTAACTCCATATGCTACAACTCAGATCCTTCCGTGGATTTCCTGTTGCAAGCGCGAGCTCTTGGGAGGGACCAGGCCCTGGCGCGCGAGTGCACGTGTGTTGTGAATTAAGTGTCGACCGTCAGGAAAACTCTACTCGGAAGTAATTACTAGTTTTGATATTTCAGAAATATCACCATAATTAATTACATAATGACTCCGCGTGTCCAAACGATTGTGTCAAACAGACCGCACAATTTCCTGTTGGGGATCTTTTATTGTAATTGTATCTAGGCGAAATACATTTGGTCGGCATTTCCAAAGCATATTACTGACTTTCGAGACAATACATTTTCATATTTTCAGATTCCTAGGAGATTGAGTTTCTCAACAATTGAAAATTAATAATTTCAATATGTTCTTCACGGCCACAAATACATCGTGAAAACAACACACATAATGTTTTATCATATTTTTTAAAATAAAGTATTTATGCTCACACAAACCCCCTTATCATTATTGATTTAATACTAAGATACAAAATATGCAGATAAACCTTTAATTCAAAATTATTTATATAATGTAAAAGTTGCTATGTTAAGAAATTCCGGAATATTCTTTATAAAAATCTTATTGCTAATGTTTTACCAATAAACACGAATGTTAAGTAAGTTTTAGACGGTATACGAAAACAACAGCAAAGTTGTAAACAAAAATGTAATCAAAGCAAACAGCCTAGATTAAAAGGTTCCCGTGCAGGGACTTTATCTGTTTACGACGCAGACCAACTGGTTTGATTTCGTGTACATTTCCCAGTAATTGACAAGCGACACAATGCCATTGTTTATTGATATGTCTGTTACATTGCTAATTCCTCTCGTTCACATGAGCAACAGTCAAGAACAAATCTTCAGTCTACGATAAATAAATAATAAGTATTGAATTCCAGCGACACGGAGACTTGTCCACAGAAACCACAACGATACATTTGTTCCGTGAGGGACGGGACAGTTTTACGTCACCCTAGGGCATCATATGTGACGGGGTGGGGTGTATGTATCCGGGGCAGGGAAGGGGTTATTTTTTTATAGTTTTTTTTTTATTTTCGGGAATCAATCGATGCATTTGTTAGAGGGATTAGATTGGAGTTTTGAATTCTTGTAACTCAGTGTGTGTTGTTTTGATGAGCCAACAAAGGTGTATTAAGAGTGGTATGAGGCCTGTTTTTAAAGTATTTTTTAAAGTATTTTGATGATTGCAGAGCTACATTGTGAGGCTGATAATATAACACTTATATAGTTTACTGTTATTATTCTTTCAGTTTGTTTTTCATAAGAGAAACATCTGCATCATTATCTCAAGGCTTTGTGTTCTAACCCCTTCCAGCAAACTAGCAGACCAGGTGCTATCTATATGATATTTTGTTTAAAGTAAACGTGTTGCAATTTTACAAATTATAATTTCAATTATGGTTTTATGTAATATTTTAGTTCCAAAAAGTCATACATAAAATATTTATGTGTCATTTCAAATAAATAAAACATTCTGTCAATAAACATGTATAAACACCTAATGGGCTACTTTGCTAATTATGTGGATTAAAGTATCAAATAATACCCCATTATTTATTTAAAGTTTCTCGGTCATTTACAATGATATGGACGGGTATCATTGTCAGGAACGTTTTATCTGACCAAAATTCAATAGATCCGTGTGTGTGTGTGTGTATTGAGAAGCGCGATCACCAGACCAAGATGACTACACAATGCCACGACATGTTTACATCTTGTCAAATCCCATGTGTCTTTCAAAATTGTTCCGTGTCTTGTCTTTTGATTTGTCATCAACGAAGCGATACTTTTCTATACCCCTGAGATGTGTCCCCCTCCCGTCACCCCTCTCGGACGCCGCACCTGCACGTTTTGTCATGGTTGGCGACGTAAAAGACAATGAGGAAGACGTCGTCAATGTCATCCCGCTGTCTTGACTTTCAGGAACTATTGTACATTTCATGCCGTAGCTGTTCCATTTCAATGCACTTGCCGTCACAAAACAGTTCTCAATATTCATTAGGTGTAATTGACTTTCCGATGACTTATCCCCTTGGTATATAAAGTATTAATTTGAAATACATTTCATTGCTCCGCGCTTAACGGTAGGAAACGGCATGGATCTACCAAGGCAGGACATCTTCGTCGCGTCAAGCGTTGTAAGTAAATCTACTTGTCAGACAACACGGCTCAAATATTTATGTTCATTTCACCGGAGCTGTTTAGTGTCTATGGGTTGGATTGTTTAGTATATACAATACCAAAATTGTACATTACAACCCCTCTTTGAACTTATGAATATTCACGTGTCCTTTTCATTGTAGTAAATTATTCAAACGTTCAAAACTGATGCCTCTTACCATTGAGTGGCGTTGCGCCTTGAAATATTTATTTCCGAACTTGACACAATGTGGCTTTATTTTTTTCGGTGACTGGTGAATTATTTAGACAACTCAAGGGATGCATTAGAATCGGAAGAAAAATAATAATAATGTCAAACGATGTGACATTAATGCATTCGTATTAATACAGGAATTATCATCTTTTTTTATCAACATAGGACTGATCACAGAGCGGATGCCATATGTGATATATTTCACGTCAATCACTGTCTGTATCGGATGTGAAATACATCGCGCCCAACACGTGCCGAGTTAACCTGATATATACATGCAAATTATATCTTAATACGGTTAATGCGGCCTGTTAGTAGCCTAACACCATCTGATCCGGCCCCATGATATACCTCTGTCGTGTTTGATATCTGATCAAGGCCGACCATTTGACAGACTAATCAGTACTTTGTTCTATGAAGTAGGGGCCTTTCCATCAAGCATATTCACTCAGCCTCCTGTGCTTAACCATTTTAAATAATGTAGTCTGTTAACCAACTGTCTTTTGTTTAGTGGGCGGGATTGCTGAACTAATAAGAATATGAAATATTAACTAGATGCTATATTTATATTTCACCTCTCAATTGTGTTCTATTTATACGTATATATACCACGGCTTGGCGGAGAAATATTAGTGCAGTGGTGTCACATCAAAGTCTTCAGTTTTGTTCCAATTATGGTTTACTCTGCGAAACCATTCCTGTTTTTATTGAAGGTATAAGAGAGGGTTTTCAAACGTTTTCATTTTTTTAAAATGCCTGTTATGTTTGAGCAGTCTTGAATATAAATCCCGATCAATTTTAAACAATCACCACTTTGAAGCTGTTCATTTAAGATTAGATATATATTAATGGTGTGTACGTATGTCCGAAATGGGTATAGATTTAAAACAAATCAAGAACATTAGGTAATATTTGATTTACGTTCCATTCTGTGTAAATAAACACTTGATTAAATATACACTAGTTGATTTAAATAAATAAAACAAAACACATAAATAATAAATAAATAAAATGAAAACAGGAACGTGGGAAATTCCTTAAGTTGAAATTAGTTAAGTCTCGTGCGAACAGCATCAAAGATCCTTCCCAACATTAATTAAGGATACAAAACGATTCTTCAATATTTTATATATCTAGTTAGCAAGACGCCATTGCAACGCACAAAATCCCGTGTTAGAGAAATATCCAGTTGTCCCAAGCGGTAAGATCAAAGGCCGCCGAGAATCAAATATGGTCTGATTGGTTAGGGTAATTTTTAAAACGATTCGTGAATGAGGGAAAGGTGGTCGTTTTTTCATGCCAAGCAAAGCCACAAACTGGTCCGTACTTTCTTTTGGCATAATCAAACAGAAAATGAGCAGTGGGAAATTTCTGTTGATCAGGCTTAATTACTTATTGGGCATGCGTGCTGGGTACCCACGTGACTAGCGTGCACACGGACAGGTGCAGAGGCATTCTCTGGCATTCAATACAAAGCAATATTCGTTTCTTGTCCACTGCCATATTCCAATTCTGACAGCGTTAGGGTAGAGACCGGCGGTATCTCAGTCGATATTGGCGGTGTGCTTGCTAAGCCTAGTCTGTGATAGGCTGGAAAGGAAGGAGAGCGAAAAGTGACCCGAGCCGTTCAGGTCCACGCTCGTTCCCTCTTTACTCATGAACGGCAAGCAGCACTCGACGGTGGGCCTGTCCCCGTCTCTCAGCCATGGCTCCCTCCCTACGGGGCGATACTCCCCTCCTTATCGACCCCCGGAACGTATGAGATGCATGACTGCCACTTCGGTACGTACAAGCCATGCTTGCATCACGGTATGCGAGCTCTTGTTAATCACCTTTATTAGCTATTCTATGCCTTCCTGCCGTTATTTGCCTTGTTTCATATTTTATGAAGTGAGTTTATCTTTGCGAAAGGGAACGTGACGTGATCATTTAGTCAACGCTCCCCGTCATCACATGTTATTGATGGTGTTTCGTACAGTAATGGTTGATGCATTGCTTTTTTCTTATATTTTAGGGCAACTTTTTTGGAGGCTTGGATGATGGCTTGTTGGCGAGAGCGGAGGCTCTGGCCGCCGTGGATATTCCCAAGTGTCCGTCAGCCCAGTTGATGAAATCGGATGGACTGTACGGACACACCCCGGACTTGACACCCCATCAGATGACCTCATCCCGACCTCAGATGTCTATGCACGCGCACACCACCCCGTTCGGATCCGGAGACTCCATGCTTGACCAGCTGACCGGCAATCCACCCGGAATGACCCTGGGCCCCGTCTCCATGCAGGAGCATCACCATCATAACAACCACGTTGTGAGCTCTCACTCCCACACACACCAGATGTACCCCCCGGTGTACAGCCACCCTAACAGCATGAACACCCACCCCGGCCTCACCTCCCACCACGCGGCCATGCACCACCCCGTACACGACACTGACTGTGACCCCAGGGAACTTGAAGCTTTTGCCGAGAGGTTCAAACAGAGAAGAATAAAGCTGGGGTAACTCAAGCTGACGTGGGGTCAGCCTTGGCCAACTTGAAGATCCCGGGGGTGGGGTGTCTGAGCCAAAGCACGATTTGCCGGTTCGAATCCCTCACTCTGAGCCACAACAACATGATCGCCCTCAAGCCCATTCTACAGGCATGGTTAGAAGAGGCCGAAAAAGCCGCTCGGGACAGAAAAGCTGAAGGGGAAATGATGGGCGGTGCAGACAAAAAGCGCAAGCGTACCTCAATTGCCGCACCCGAGAAAAGATCCCTTGAAGCTTACTTCGCAGTTCAACCAAGGCCTTCAGGGGAAAAAATCGCTCAGATAGCTGAGAAGTTAGATTTGAAGAAAAACGTTGTTCGCGTGTGGTTTTGTAATCAAAGACAGAAACAGAAGAGAATGAAGTTCTCTGCAGGTGGTCTTGTACATCACTGAACTCAATTTCGGAGACAGGGACTCGGCAATACTCACAATTCGGAGCGCCACCCTACCCCCTGTTCTCCCCGACCCCGGGACTAGCGGTCGGTGGGGGCAAGGTGGTGGGGGCACGGCTCCCGGTTCATGTGCAATGTGTTTCTCAGGTCAGCTACACGGTCTCGCTTGTGCAAACGGCAAAACAGCGCACAGGGAGAAAACGGAGAGTGCTTTTTGTGACAATACCAACGAGAGTCGTTTGGGATTCTCGTTTTTTGAACTATTCTGGTCTGAGCTTCGTGTATATACTACGTAAGTATGAGTGTTGACACTGTTGATTTTGTACCATAAATTATTATTTATGTTTGAGAAATTTATTTGTGAACCGTTTCTCACAAGACTTTTTGAAGGTTGGTACCTACGTGACCACCATGCGGCGGGCTACTTATGTATACATAGATTCAATATTCACTGCATCACTGAATTTTTACAAATTTATGCTTTTTCTGTGTTGATTTTGTTGGTATATTCAGTTATGCATATTTGAGCCAATTTCGTACAAGCGAACATCAAAATCATTCTGAATTTCAAAGCATTCGAAACCACATCGTCACAGCCATTGAAACACAATCCCAATTCTAGAAACAGACGCCATTTTTGTTTCTGTTTATAGAACATGTATCTCAGGAAGCCATGGAGTAGAAATGCTTTTGTTTTTAAAAAATTATATTTCCTTAATTCCCATGTGTAGTAAGATAGCATTGCGTCTCCTGGTCCATGACAATGTAGTTGAAATTAACAACCATACCTTGTCAATCAATCCCTCACCAGACCGCATCTGCTCATAAACAGAAGCCAGTGGGCTAACAGTAAAAACATTGTCATCGTTTTGCAACATTGAAACCACCAATAAAGTTAACAGTATCTTGTCACCTCACGAAAACAAACTCATTTCTTGTTGCTATTATCTAACCTTTTAAAAATACAGTATATTTAGTTTGAAAGGTTTTATTGTGAGTTTAATATCTAATCATATTAATGTTTCAATTTTGAAAATATATCATATCTAATGTTTCCTTACTTTAATTTCACAAATTGTTTAAAAGACAAAACAGATCTGATGTACGGGTTTCCGACCCTCAACATTAACGCATGTGAAAACAATGCACAATATGGCCAGGTCATGTTTCTCGCAATTCACAGGGGAATTCCCTTAGAGTCAGGAGTCGTTGTAAGCTTTAGAATCGTAAGCCGCTTAGCCTTCTGTGAGGCCATCATTAGGTCTGTTTGCCTGCATTATTAGTATTAAAGGGATCACACGTGGCCCTTCTGGTCTGAGAGATCGTATTTAAGGTACTGTCTTCTAAAACCAACCTGAAAGAATACCACCAGCAAATAGGATTCATTGAAAACAGCTGACTGGAACAAACAAGTCCGATTTTCCATTCTGGTTATTTTACAAAATGTTTGTACATATTTTTATGGGAAGCATTTTAAAATACGAAACAAAGGCATTCGAGAGGGGCGTGGTGTTATGTACTGACATATGTTTAAGAGCAATTGGAAACCCCTTAAAGCCATATTACAATTGATTGTATCAATTACGTTTTGTTAAAATGGCTATAAACGGACATATGATAGCCTGGGCTCGTGAGATGTGTTGTGTTTGGGGGACATTTAGTGCATAATTACGGGGGGTAATATTTGCTCGACGCACCCGGCTATGAAACCTCGCGGTGATGTGAGAACATGGCGGAACCACCCTGGCTAGATTTCTCCCGGGGATCGGTAGCCCCACGTACTCGTTTAGTAATTGTCGTCGTTTTATCACCGCCATCATTATCAAAGTTTTGACCTTTTGTTCCATTCGGCTTCGAGGCCATCTGTGCGTTTTAACAGTAGTCTATACAATCGATGCTATACCCTCACCCGTACTTAAACACCGATTATTAATCAATTCTCTCGTGTGTTTCTTTGAACCCTTTTCTACGCTTGTGTTGACCAATATTTTCGATTCCACTTGTAATCGATATTACGTGTCCGACGCGAGATCACAAACAGATGACGACTTCAACATATGTCCTCATGCTGAACGGCGGCGCGGTTGAACAACTTCATAAAATATTTACCACAATGACGGCTGTGGAGGGATAGACCAAATTCCATTACATTAGTCCCAGACTAATTTTTATGGCTTCCTTAGGTGCATGAGAGGAATTCCGACTGACATTATGCAATTTCATCTTCAGTACCATTGTGCTCCTGTAATGTTTTATTTGCGTTGTCATATTTTGTTAATTTTTTAAAAATATGGCAAGTTTTACGCAGGATCGCATGCAATAAAGAACACGTAAAACAGAAACTATGTTTAAATGTATTTTCCGTACAACGAAATTAGAATGAGTCCGAAAATGGCAAATTCATATAAATGAGATTGTTACTATCAAATAAATCTTTGCCATTTTAATGGGAAAAGTCCTAATTGGCATGTATTGTGATTTGTTTGCCTGCGAGCCTGTGTTTTGTCGCCTAATTCTGTTAGTTACTAGCTAGCGACATACCGTGAAGTTACAATACTGTGTATGAATTTTACATATTTTTGTATGTTTTGAGGCCTATATTTGTATGTTATGCGTTCTTTCACTGCAAATCATGATAAAACAATTGATCTCTACCTGCATTTATTTGTCATTATTTTTATTCATTTGGTATTTAAAACATGAAATAACATTGTGCTGTGCTGATGTTTTCACTCTAAAAAGACTCTTTATAATTGGAAGGGTTTTTTATCGGGTAATTGTATCTAAATATAAAACATCAACGGACGAGATAATCCGTCTCCATCATTTGCCAAAACAGACTGGATTTGCGATAAGGCAAAATAGAGTTGAAACCAAGCGCTTTGATTGGTTACTGTAACTGTCATTTGGATATTCATTCATCCCCTTTGATGACATATAGCATTATGACAGTACGGTATGGTAGAGCTATTGCGCTACATTACTAAAGAGTTATTTAATGATACATTTTTGTTGATAATGCGAGTTGATTGTTGAAGCAATTGACATTTTCTGACACATACTGGTGAATTTCTTTTATAAGTATAAAAAAACAAGCAGTTTTAAGCAACAAAACGTTTACTTAGATAGATAGATCCTCGGGGATTATGTGTCCCACGAGTTTCTGTTTTAATGTACAGCTAACGTCGGAGTGAATAGACTCTGACGTAAGAAGTCTGTTCGGGCACATTTGTAACGGTGATTGTTGCTAGTAGTTATTGAAATACCGTTTCAGGTTCACAGAGAAAACAATTTTTACGTTCGTCAAACTCGTAGATGCAAAAACATATAAGTTTATTTAAATATAATTCTCGACCACAAAAGTGATGGTAACTCGCTCAAGTACGCAGTAAGTGATGGAAGCTCGTACATGTAAACAGGAAGTGATGGAAACTCACACACAGGTACACAGTAAGTGATGGAAACTATTACACATGTAAACAGGAAGCGATGGAAGCTCGTACATGTAAACAGAAAATGTTGGAAACTCACACGTGTAAACAGTAAATGTTGGAAACTCACACGTGTAAACAGTAAATGATGGAAACTCACACATGCACGCAATGTACCTGATGAAAACTCGTACACGTACACAGTAAATGATGGAAACTCACACATTTACGCAGTGTAACTGATGAAAAACTCTCACACATGTAAACAGTAAATGAAGGAAGCTCACACGTGTAAAAAGTAAACGATGGAAACTCACACATGTATGCAGTCAGTGATGGAAACAAACATGTAAACAGTAAATGATGGAAACTCACACATGTAAACAGTAAATGATGGAAACTCACACATGTAAACAGTAAATGTTGGAAACTCACACGTGTAAACAGTAAATGATGGAAACTCACACGTGTAAACAGTAAATGATGGAAACTCACACATGTAAACAGTAAATGATGGAAACTCACACATGTACGCAGTGTAACTGATGAAAAACTCTCACACGTGTAAACAGTAAATGTTGGAAACTCACACGTGTAAACAGTAAATGATGGAAACTCACACATGTACGCAGTGTAACTGATGAAAAACTCTCACACGTGTAAACAGTAAATGATGGAAACTCACACATTATCGCAGTGTAATTGATGAAAAACTCTCACACGTGTAAACAGTAAATGTTGGAAACTCAAACGTGTAAACAGTAAATGATGGAATCTCACACATGTAAACAGTAAATGATGGAAACTCACACATGTACGCAGTGTAACTGATGAAAAACTCTCACACGTGTAAACAGTAAATGATGTAAAGAAACTCACACATTATCGCAGTGTAATTGATGAAAAACTCACACACATGTACACATTAAATTTTGGAAACTCACACGTGTAAACAGTAAATGATGGAATCTCACACATGTAAACAGTAAATGTTGGAAACTCACACGTGTAAACAGTAAATGATGGAAACTCACACATGTACGCAGTGTAACTGATGAAAAACTCTCACACGTGTAAACAGTAAATGATGGAAACTCACACATTATCGCAGTGTTATTGATGAAAAACTCACACACATGTACACAGTAAATGATGGAAACTCATGTACACAGTAAATGATGGACCTTAAACACACAAGAAATGTAATAAAACATTTGGATTAAAACATTGTGGCGAGAGAGGGTAATACATGTTGTAAATTTGAATTGTATTGTATTGCAGCAAAAACCGTAAAATGCCAGCTTACTTAATGTAAGGAGCTCGCACATTTCCAAAGTTTACTATAAGGTGTCAAATTGAAAACAGAACATTGAAAAGAATAAATATTTAGTTTGCAGTGTAAAACACCTATTTCAAACACCCAATCAAAACACAGTCGTAAACGCTGTGACCGTTCTAATATGGCATGGTGGGTATATGGATGGCAGAATATTATAACAAAATAACTTAAATTAACAAAAATATATTCTGAGTACATTCTTCCCTCCACAACGTGTCTTATGCTCGGAAACGGTACATGGTCATACATGAAGAACCCAAGGAACAACAGCACAGATATATCGGATACAAGACAATGAGATTCAAAGAACAGAAATCACAGACAACATTTGCTACTAGATACTAGAAGTTATACTTACCTTAAACTTACATAATTTCCATAAGAAAGGTATTTGGTACAAGTATACCTACATCAGCCAAATTAAATTACACACTATTACCTTTCTTTTAAACTGCCGGGGAGAAATATACGACGACGGTAGCCTAAAACAAACAAACAAACAGGTATAATGTATTTAATATGGGTATAACATTTATGATTTTGTCCTGAATTTTGCAGTCCTTAGGTCACGTTTATAATTGTTGATCAAATTTATTTTTAAAGTATACACCTTCTTTTGTCTTGCTGTATAGAACCCAAATATCACTCAGTGAAATATCATGCTTGTTCTGTCGCAGACATTCGATTCATTGTCAAAGACAACTTCTGATGCCTAAACTTCAAGGTGAAGGTTATAGAAATGTAAAACGTCAACCATGGAATACTCTTTGTTATCCGAAACGATTCCACTGACAAAATAGACCATAAAATATGGTAAATAACATCTTTATTGCTCTGCAATAGCTATTACAGCATAAAATTGTGTGTTTTCGGTTTGTCGTACGTCAACTTCAATGGAAATGAAATTCAAAGATCCAAAGGGCGAAAAATGCAAAATAGCATTTGAAAGTATATGAATCACTAAAATCAAGAAATAGCTTAAATGTTTTCAGCTTAACAATAATGAAGATTACAATGTAGGCTTTTATATACTTGAAACCAAAATACGACTTTCTGTTCGTGTTCTACATAATGACACGTCTTTTCATGGAATTTCCACAATTTCGGCTTGTCAATTATCCTACAGGGAATATGTAGGTGGAAACAATATGAGTACAGCTTTCAAATTTTCGACCACGCATATAAACAACAAGTGATGAATCTCACACACTTGGACCACACATGATGGAACTCACACACGAAACAACAGCACTTCATTCTATTAACGAATAAAAAAGAGAAAGCATATCATACAGATAATAACTTGTCTAAATATAGGTAGTGCATGGGCCTTTTACAGTTTTCATCAAATTTACATAATAATTCCTCTGAGTAACACGGAAAGTGGGAATCATCGACTAATTGTGAACTATATACAGATGTATTTTATGTACCTAATTGCCCTAATAACTTTAAAGAACCAAAAAACCCAGATTTCCATGAGGAATATTGGCAGACAAATTGTGTATATTTTTACATATTCATCTGCGTGTTCACACGAAGCTTCTTCCCACAGTTAAATAACACAACCCATGATATACTATGCTCATACAACACAGTTATCACTTAAGAAATTAGAGTTAAAGAATAGAAAATTATGATACAGATTTTGTCTTGAAAGAATTACTTTGTTTTACACCTCTACTTTCTATGAAACAGTCTTGAACTGATGAAGTAAAGACAACAGGTTCACGCTGTCAACAGACATATTTTACCTTTTTAACGACAAAAATGGAACAAAGATGTTTTTGTTTGTAAAATGTTGGGAATAATCGTATTTATATTTCTGCTACATGAAAATAAAACCAGTGGAAGATATTCACTCCTGGAATTACCGTGCCAACCTTCACAACACACGACTCACAAGTCCCTTAGGAGTTCTATCTCCAGTAACCTGTCCACATTGCTGCCTCACACCTTTGATCACAGCAAGCCACGACAAAATACAACCAATAGGATTATTATTTATGAAACAAATAAACTCCCATTGCGTTGCGATTATTTATATGAAAACAAGTCTGAAAGATGAATTTGATGTCATTATTTCATGATATTGTGGTTAATTCATTAAATATGATATTTTAATGTTTAAACTATTGGTATTGTATAACGGAAAACATTTCAATCTGTTAACAATTATTTGATTATTATCACACATATTCTATGAATTGTAAACTGTGAATTCCTGATATTCGTTAAATCATTCTCCAAACTGTTAGCTCTAAATATACTCATGCCAATAATGGTTGTCACCCCTCCCCACCCCAACCCCACACACATTCACACCCCACCCCACACTCCCTCTCCAATTAAAAAAATTGAAGGGTGTGACAACCATTATTGGCATGAGTATATAAACAAACATATTTTCATTTATCTAAATAAAATCCATTTGCAGAAATATAGTTCCAGCTCTAAAAAGCATTTGCTATGCAGCGGAAAGTAAAATCTGAATTACCCCTTCAGTACAATCTTTGTGTCAACCTGCAGTTCTGTATATTGTAAAGCACTGGAATTGAATTGAATTGAATTATGTTTTTCATTCCATCCCTTCACTATTGATTCAAACGATTAAACCACTATCTAAAACTAAACCATAATCTGAAATGTGCATCCATTCAACAGAAATACCATTCCTGATTCTAAATACACCGTAAACACTATCCTTCATCCGCAAGCCGCCATGTCTGTTAATCCTGGAAATTCTTGTGATTGTCATATGAAGAAATTGTTATTCTATATTAACCCTCGTTAAGTTCTTGCTTCTGAAAATGAATTCCCAAACGAGCATGACCGAGTTTCCCGACTTAGAGATCAATGACGTCATTGACGGCGGTAGTCTTGT